TTTTTTACAATTATACATATTTTCCTTTTCTTTTTGAAAAGAAAAAATTCATTATAACAGCGAAAAGATAATTTCATGACAAATATTTGTTTACATTTTGAAAATATTCACAAATTTTTAAAAAATAATTTTTTGTTTGGTACAAACGTACGATTGATTACAAATGCATTGATCATTGATAATTGAGTGAATCATTTCATTAATTATAATTAATCTTATCGAACGAATGAATTATTTTTATAATTAAAAAATTTGCTAAAAATAGGTCATTTTTTCTTTTTATGATGTCAAAATCAATGATTTACATGCCATTTTTTCTTTTTTTTTCATTCATAACAAAGGATCCCTTTTTTTTACAAATGACATTTTACAATTATTTGATGCAATCAAGTAAATCGATATTATTAATTGATTGATTTGAAATTTGTTTAATTACAATTTGCAGAAACCTAGAGCTATATAAAATCTTTTAAATTCGTCCATTTAATGAAATCATTTATCAAGATATTTAGAATAAAAAAAAAAAAAAGGAACGAATAAATCATCCGGTGGTAAATCCAACATTTTCAATTCATTTATTCAAATCAATTAAAATTGCAATCCAAAACTATTGAATCAAAACCAAGTTGTCAATTTCCGAACACTCCAAATTTTAATTTGGCAGTAATTATTTCAATTAGGAAAGTAAATAAAATTGATTTCAACCAACTATATACAGCAGGATATTAAATAGTTTTTACTCATTATTATTGTTAAATCATATGTCTGCATATACTTGGAAGTTGGAATGTAAATAACAATTTGAGTTTTAAGAAGTATTTAGGTCGATTTCGGATTATTTGCAGTATTTAAATTAGTTTTAGTTATATGCATGAATATTTATTTGTATGTTTTTTCAGTTAATCACTGATATATTCCGTTATCACCATCTTATCATCTTATTAAACATTTTAATTTAAATTTCATTTCTATTCCTTTTTTTCTTTTGTTAATCGACATGAATTGCTAGGATAATTTTAAAGAATATTAAAAATGATTGGATATAAAATGGTTGGACAAATTTAATTCTAAAACATGATAAGAAAAAAATAATAATATCGGATATAATAATGGAATGTACATATATATATATATATATATATATATCATGAGGCTACATATAATATAGAAAATTCGATATCATTATTTTACTATGTCCATATACTCATTCAAATGCATTACTTACTTACTTATTTACTTAATTACCTGCTACTAGTAACACTTACATTGCCAACAGCAGCAATACGTAATTGGATCGGTAACATATCATATCAGATATTATGACGATATTATCACGTTGCTTAAGAAATACAGATAACATATTTCACGATAATATTACATTATTTAAAAAGTAAGGATAACATATTTTACGACGAGATCACATCATCCTGAAAGCAAAGGTAGCATTATCCTGAAATAATCCATTCAAATATTATACAATCCACAAATATGGGAAAAAAAACAGAAATTGAGTAGTAAATAGCTGAATCAAATGTATTTCAGTTAATTAATTAATTAATTAATTAGTTTTCATTTCACAACATTTTTACATTCGCAAGGAATGAACAGAAAGCAACGGTAGCATTTGGTTTAAAGTAATAGCAAGGAAGCGCAAAACGGATGGATATTTGGGATATGTCAAGGACATAATGCCCAATATTCGGGATTTTAGCAGGGAAAAAAAAAGAAGTGAAGATGAGAAGGAAAATAAAGAGAAAAAGAAAAGAGAAAATGGAAGGGAAAAAGAAAAAAGGAATTATTACAATATAAAATAAGATGTAAGAAAATAAGTTTAGTTAAGAAATTCGAAGATATTATATTTCTGATGAAATTTTGAAAATAAAGGATGAAGAATATATGAAGCTAAAAAAAAAAAAAAAGACAAAAAAAAACGAAAAACAAAAGAAAAAGAAAAGGACAAGAAGAGCGAGAGAGAGAAAGAGGGAGAGGGAGAGAGAGAGAGAGAGAGAAGAGAAG